TTACAATTCAGCAATGATTTATAAGATAAAGGAGGGCCGCTGCCACGGCCGGCACGTCAGGCAGAGTGGGAGGAAGCGGCTCCCAGGTGCCCAGCAGGTGCGCACGCAGTCCGCCTGGCGTGGCTCAGCAGGAGCAGGTTAGAGAACGCTGGGAAATCTCCCCTTCCACCTAACCACGTACTCCAGGCAGCTTTCGTCCAAACCCAAATGCTCGTGCCATCGGGGATCCCTGGGGGCAGTCCACCTGTCTGTCTGATTTCCTCCTGACCTTTCCAGGAAAGGACTGGAAGCATCCACTTTAGAGATTGGAGATAGTATGGCACTGGCTGGATGTAGTGTATCAGCATCCAGACCAAGCAAAAATCTCAGGCTGTCTGTCTGGATGTTTAGGTGCAAGAATGTCACATACAGCATCATTTATCATCGGAAAAAGCAGAAAAAGTCATTTTTGTGGAAAAATATATGATGATATGAGAAAATGTTCAATGTTCGTAATAATATAAATGAAAAAAGCAGGATACAAAGCTATATAGGTAGAATAATCTCAAAGGTGGGGAGAAAACTGTGTGTGTGTGAGTGAGTGTGTATGCTATGGGTGATTTCAATTTTATTTTGTATTATTTTATTTTATGAGTCTTTAAAAAATAGCTTAGTGCACTTTAAAGAATAGTTTCATAGATGTGCAGATTTCATAAAGTGCAGAGCACATTCACACACTCTTCTAAGTGTGAGTCAGGGCACAAGAAGACCCATGCTCTTTGTTCAATGTAAATCGTCGCTTAGCTTTAAGGGTCGTGTACAAAGAAACTGATATGCACTCTGCATGTGATATCTTAAGATGATTATCTTATCTATCTGATGATTAAGGTGATATCTTAAGATGAAAGCTCTTTTTGTAATTAAACATCATATTTTAATCTGTTCTAAATCACAAAACTAATAGTCGTTCTTTCTAAAAAATTCAAACAACCCAGAAGTATGCAGCGTAAAAAGGACAGTCCCTGTCCCTAATTTCAATCCCACCTTCTAGAAGTTAACTGTAGTATTTGAATAGCTTGACGCGTAACCTCCTGGCCTTCTTCCGAGGCTTATTCAGATCTATAGAACCACAGCATTTGTGAAAGCATTTTGGACCGTTTGATGATTTGCCCTCTGTATCAAGGATATCAACCAAATCCTCACAGAGACAGAACTTGCCAGCTTTAACGGCTGTGCAGAATTCTACTGCACGGAAGCAGCATTTTTAATTCAGTCTCCTCCTCATTAATATTCTTTTTTTCTGTTGTCAACTTTTTGCTACTGCAAATAACGTAATGAGCATGTTTGGCCATATATTACTACACATGCAAGTACAGTGGCGGTTTTAGGACCTACTTCTCAGAGTAGGGTTGTTGGCTTCCAGGGCATACCCATTTGTAATTTTGATAGCTACTGCTGAATTGTGCTACACCAGGCTTGTATTGTACCTCCCACCAAGAGCATCTCCTCACACCCTGGTAAGCCAATCTCTGGATAAAATCAATCTCTGAAATCTGCCAAACTGAGAGTGGAAAAAAAAATGGTATTACTTTTGTAATCAGAATAAATTTCAATATATCTTTTTTTTTAAAGCACATGACAGACCATTTTTAATATTCTTTCTAAAGTAGATGTGAGGTCTGCAACCAACACAGGGAAGAGAGAAGGTTGTTTCATCAATCAAAGGAGGACCACATCCAGAAGATAGTTCTTTTCAGTCATGCAGACTTGTAAGAAATCCGACTGAACTGATAAAAAAGCTAGCAAACACTGCCATCATAATCCCGTTTTTAGGTACTCAATTTTACTAACCATTAGTTGCACGTGACTGTAAAACTGGGTATAATTTTGTTACCTGGTAAATATCTTAATTTTTTATACTTACCTTTGAAGCAGTTCAGGGTTTGGGGTTCTTCTGTCCTTTTTGAGGTATAATCCTACCCTTGGGCCATTTTTACTTTACACGTGAAGTAGGCTAATTAAAAAAGTTCCTAATGCACTTTATTGCACAAACAAGTCATTAGATGACTAATTAAATTAATAAAAAAAACCCTTGTGAATATCACCTGGAAAAGGTAGGAGAAAATTTTAAAATAACAATGAGATAAAACATGTCCTCCTTCTCTTCTCAAGTTTAGAAAAGGTCTCTAATTAACGTAAAAGGAAAATCACTTCAAGTCCTTCAACCACCCAACATATTAGTTGCTGTCAGGAACTGCAGACAAAGAAGATCATAACAGAGCTCATTGTCAGTTGTAACCTAGAGCTCGCCATTTAAAGCTGCCACCGAAGGACAGTTTGTTTTCACAAACGTGGCGGGGTCTGAGGAAACCATTGTTCACTCATTTGATATTTCCTAACTGCTCCCGTGGGCTAAGGGGTGGGAGGACACCCTCCCTGGGCCCTTCCTTCCCTAATCTCACTGCGGTGTCCACATCTTGGACCCACACCGATGTATCAGGCCAGACCACTGGCTGACAGCCTGTCTTCTGCACGTTGGCGACACACAGGACCCTCCCTGGCGGGAATTCCCAGACATACTCCGGGTATACAAACAGAAGAACACAAAGGCAGATGGATTTGCTGCTGGTGCTGAAAAGAGGGAGGTGCAGCATTAGCCACCGCAGATCTGCCTTTGCATCTGCACATGAGTAAAACTGAGATAGATGGAGAGGCCCCTGATGAAACCCCGACGCTCGCCTGACACGCCGTGTGCCTTGGGAACTTCCTCCTGCAAGCAGCTGACATGTCCCCAGAGAGGCTCGCTCACTTTAACAGCGGTCTAGGCACAGCGTGCTGAGGGCCGGAAGGCCAATCCTTGGGGGGAAATCGAGTTCATTTTTAAGTTTAAGAGCAATGCCACTTCTCCCTCTCACCATATGTGGATGACTGAGAACAGGCATTTTTCAAAGACTTCAAGAAAAGCTGCTCATTACCACAGCAAGAAATTACCATAATTTAGAGCCACTGCCATTTCAGCAAGAGGGAAGGCCAGGCCATCTAGAGTTCTAAATTGCTTGACTTCACTTGCCTTAAGCAGGAGACTGTATCAAGGTAAGCGCACTTCTGTTAATATTAAACTAAACCCCATTTAACTTTTAAGCAGCCTGTACCATAGTTCTACAGGACGGCTCACTACCCACAGCACCAGCGTCCACCTGTCTCCTGGTTCAAACTCCAGGGCTCGCTCCTCTTTCCTCCCTCAGTGTGCGGGTGGACAGCGCACCGACAGCCCCCTGAAGGTAAGCAGGAGCTTGTCTGGGACAGTAAGGTTTGCTGACCATAACTTAACCCACAGGCCTCAACGATCTCGGTGGTGGTGGTGGGGTGTTTCTTCAAGACTTTTTTTCCTGACTATAAAGGTACTTCATGCTTAATGCAGCAATTGAAGGAAAGATAGAAACATATAAGAAAAAAACAAATTCAGCGCCACCACCGTCATCGGAGATCCCACCACTAGAATTAGTTTCCATCCAGTCCCTTTCTGACTCCCAGACGTGCGTGTGCCCGGCACTGACATCTATGCCTGTTCTGCAGCCAGTTCGTGGCCTGCTTTTTTTCCTTTTAAAAAACCTTATCCTGAGCATTTTCTTAAGATATAAATTTCAAAGCTCAATTTTTTAATCACTCCAATACTATCATATCAAATATTTCATGATTTTTTAGCCACTCTCCCTCTGTGGACTTTTAAGTGGGTCCTAGTTTCTGCTGTTATCAGTAATACACAGATCACCCATGACACTGATTATTTCCTTGCTAATGTCTTAGCAAACAAATTACTGGGTCACAGGGAATGGCTGTTCAAGGCGTCTGATGCTGATGGCCAGACTGCTTTCTGGAAAAGTTGGGTCCAGTTAAAAAACGGAAGAGAGATCTCCTCTCCCTTTTCAGCAAAGGGGTTCAATAAATTAGAAGCTGACGACCTGCCTCAGGCACTGACAACCGTTATTTTGTGTTTTTATTGACTATGGGGAAGCAGAAGAAAGCTATGATGAAGAGCCCAACACTCTTCACGAACATTCCAGGATGCCTAGCTTGATAAACAACTAAGAATAAGCTGCAATTGGCAATTTTCAATGATCTATACAAAGGGAAGAGGAAGAAGGTTTTCTGAGAATGTGCTTCAGACTAGGAAAATCTAAAAATGACCCTGGGGTGTTCCTGCAGAAAGACGGGCAGGAGAGGCTCTGCTCGACAAAGTGGCACGGTCCCAACTTGTCACCCTGAACGTGTGCACGAATCTGCCGCGACAGGACACGCTTCACGTCCTGAATTAAACCTGAAAGGCAGTCTCCTGGAATAAGCCAGAATGCTTTAGAATTAGCCCCAGAGGATGGGTCTCTGAAACAGTCATCTGGCTTAGTCCAATCGTCCCCAGGGTGCGAGGCCGCCCACGCGAGGCCCAGGGACAGGAAGGAGCTAGGAGGCCTGGAGTGACCTTGCCAAGTAAGACAAAGCGATACATTGTACACTGGCAAGCTCAGAAAAGGCAGGCTTTTTTTTTTTTTTGAGAAGACAAGAAAGTGAATGAAGTCTGCTTCTTCTGCTGTTTTATTTGAACTGTTAACACCAGCTACCAGGACATCAATTTGGTGCCATCCTTCAACAGCCGCAAATGCAGCGGGACAGAAGCCCCGAGGGTCAGCCCAGGCTGCCAGCACAGCAGGTCCCTACAGAGCCCTGGTCTCCTGCCTCAGGCCACAGCTTCGCAAGTGGCCTGCATGGCCCCGCCTGGGTTGGTGGGAGCCACAGTGAGCAGCCAGCTGAGGCTCACAGTGCACAAACCCAGTGGGGTTCAGAGCATCAGCCTGGAGCAGGGGGGTACAGAGAGCCTGGGCCCGAGGCCGGGGTTCCAGGGGAAGTAAGCAGGGAGCCAGAGGGTGAGGCTCTGGAGGACCCTGAGTATTTGCTCGAGACAGGAGGAGCAGGCACTTGGCCAGGGCTTCTGGCTCTAAACCCCAGAGCTAATGACACACAGCTACCTTCATGACAGGCTGCGCAAAGTATCGGGCGCTCCAGTCACAGAATCCCGTCTGCATCGTGGCCGAGATGAAACTTTTGTGTCCAGCAGCATCATCCGGATCGTCGGTGGTCTTCCAGGCATTTGGAAAGGAGGAGGGGAGAAAAGAACAGAAACAACAGTGAGTCTCCTCATTCCCCACATTCTTTGTACATTTGAAATAGTTCTTAACTGGAGACAAGGGCACAGTGGCTGGCAGTGGTCTGGCTTCTAGGGAAACATTTCTGGGTTCCCCTTACTTCTGCATCCTGGTAACCAAGGGATGCTGAATGTCTGGACAGGGCTCCAGGGAACCCACAGTAGGAAGGGCCATCCAAGTCTGCGTCCAGGGAACTGCGTCCCCCTGGGGCCAGCTAAGGTGGCTTGGGCTGCAGAGTCCCTGTCACTCCCCTGAGCTGGCTGCACAGGTCCTTCGATGCCGGGTCAGTAATCCCCACAAGGCCTGTGCAGCCTAGTCCCGGGGCTGCTGCCCCAACAAGGCCAGCCACACAGGTACCCGGAGGAGGGCAGGGACTCCTGGTGACTCTGCACCTGCCCTGTGCGAGGTGGCTCCTGGACAGAGGGTGCAGCAGAACGTAGGCCAACTGGGATTTCTAAGTATTAAAACTCAAAATACTTGACCCTATTTTTTAGGGCGATGCATCAGTTTTATTCCTGTTGCAGGACCAATGGTGGCTGGGGCTGTTAGAGTAGGAGCTCACCTCACTGCACACAGCCGGGCACAAGAAGTCCCTGCAGTGCGTGTCGGTGGTGGGAGTAAAGGCGTCTTTCAGAGAGGAGTCCCCATCATCCGGGAAGGCCTGCTGGTGGGAAGTCCCACAGGTGGGACGCAGCGACAGGCTCTCACCCCCGCTTGGTGGAGACTGTGGGCTGCCTGCTGCCACCGAGCTGCTCTGCCGGACCAGGACTCTGGGGATGCTGCCCCATCTCAGGGTCCGGCCAGGAGGCTGACCCTCGCACTGGGAGCTCGTGGCCATTTTTGCTCCAAGCTGTTGAGGCAGGGAGAGAGCGCGCCTTGAAAGCCAGGGAGGGTGAGGGGCCGGGTGGCATGGGTGGAAGCCTTTTCATCACCAACATGCGCTTCCTGCTACAAAGGCCCCCTGCAGCCTGCTGTGGACTTCCTGTTAGAATTGCTGCCTCCTGTGAGCTGAGACACTGGCTGCCCCGTGGCACCCACGGCAGCCCGACGCCCTTGGTGCATCCTGAACAAGCTCTCCAGACCGTGCGTCCTTGGCCCAGAGAGCAGCCAACAGTCTGGACGAGGCAGCGCACACCCAGCTTCCGCGCTCACCCTACTGCGCATCCTCGCGGCTGGAAATGAAGGCACCAACGGCCCCTCTCCTGAAATTTCTTCTTCAACTTAGTTAAGGGCAGAGACCGCACCTACTGAGGTGGCGTAATTGAATGTTTACGGAAAAAGCAAAGAATCCATTCAGAACAAACACTGCTGTGGAGCAGCTGCCGTGCCAAGTGGAGGCAGAATGCTATTTACCCAAGAAGAGAAGGAGCAAATGAGCTCCATGTGCTTATTTGGTTACGTGGAAGCTGCCAAGAATGGCGAACTGAGAACAAGAGGCTGCAGGAGTAAGAGGAACGGCCCCCTGATGTTCGCAAAGACTCGACTGTCAAACGGGGGTCAAGCCCGGAGCCACCGCCTGGGGATGAGGGGAGGATGGCGCCCACATCCTGCACAAGGTGCGAGGCAATGCCAATGACCTAATTCCGACGTCTCGGCTCACGTCTGAGGAGCAGAGCTCTTGGCATCTAAATTCATCAGAATTAGTATTAAAAATCACCCAACAGTCCAGTGTCTGTACCTGGTCCGGGCCTTTGTCAAACATCTTCCGTGTCCGGGGGAACTGGTGGGAGTGGGGTGTGTACTGCACGCCTGTGGGGCCGGTGGGGCCTGGCCGGCCTGGAGGCAGGTCTCGGCTGACCGGCTGCTTGGCCACGTCGTTGGTCAGGCTGGAGCTGCTTGTGCTGGATGTTGGCGGGGAGCCTCTGTGTCCGGGAAGAAGAAATACTGCCTTGTACCCAGAGCCCGTTACTTTGAAACCAAACACTAAGCCAGTGGTCCTGGCTCTGCCCGCCCCCTGGACACTGGCAAGGGCCAGGCCATCAGTGCAGAAGGTCCTCCAAACACCACCTGCTGATGCAGAATTAACAACCCCTTCTAGCTCCTGCCTGTGGGTTCCAAGAATGGTCTTCCACTGAAAACTAACACAGCGAGATAAGCTAGGTCAGGACTAAGTGATCCAGCCGGGTACAAGGAGGGGCTCAGCGCACATGTCTGCACTCCTTGAATTCAGCGCAGCCTCGCCACTTCCTGAGGTGGATGCTGATATAAGAGGAACGTTCTGCCTCCACCCCGCTGTTACTGACGGGGAGGGTACAGACCCTCTCATAAAATTCTGGGGGCTATAGAAGTCAGGCTCAGTTCTACTTCTGCCGTTAGAGTGTGTGCAGACGAAGGCAGCAAAGAACTCTAGGAAGGAGCTCAGATTAGACAGATGAAGGGGTGTGTGTGAGACACACAGAGAAGATGCTCACCAGAGAGGGAGAGAGAAGCAGAGGGGGAGGAGAGGAGCGGGGGCAGGGAGAGGGAAAAGAAGACGAAAAGTGGGGAAGAGAGAGCGAGCAAGCACAGAGCTGGCAGAGAACGGGACAGGGAGTATCCGAGGGAACCTCACCACAGACCTCGGAGGACAGGCTGCACACAGGTGAGACCCAGGCCACTTACCCGGCCTGGTGGATGTGGATGCCCTTGTTGGTGGGGCTGGCGGGCGCCGACTGAGTGAGACAGGACGTGGTGAGGATGCGCTGAGGCCGGGCGTTCACTGTGGCCTGGAAGAGCAAAGACAAGCGATGTCGGACGGTCAGCTGGTGGGACCTCTGAGGCTACAGGACAGAAGCACAGGGTGGTGCTTGTTTCGTGGGGCTTCAAAATTGCAGCAAAGGCCTTCTGGCCGAGGAAATCTCACACACCAACGGAAGATCCCAGCTGAAATTTCCCCCAGACATCACCCTGCAGATAAAATGATATTCTTTTGCCTTTTAGCAATTATTCACCTGGTCCAGTGAGGCTCTGGGGATGGCCCTGCCTAAAAGGCCCTCACAAAACTATGCTAGGGTGAACCGTGAGTCAGGATCCGGGAAGCTGGGGAGAAAGTTGTCCACGGGGCTCCTCCCTCAGGACAACGAACAACACTTCCACCCTCAACCGCCACCTTCCTTCTCCCGAGAGCAGACCCTCCCTGGCAAATCCTCGGCCTTCCTCCTCCCTTGCCCAGCGGGCTAAGCTTCCGCACTGGCGGGAGAGCATCGCTCCAGCCTCTGCATTTGTTTTTCTACCTCGGGGCAGGCTCAGAGCAGTTTCCCCGGATGCAGCACTTTGTGGATGGAGACAAGAGTGGGTTCTGTAAACTTCCTTCCACAAACATTTGCAGGGTTTGACATTTCACCACAGAAAAAGGATGTGCACCAGTTGAAACTGGCATTCAGGAGGGAAGTGGTTTTGTTTTGCTTTTTTAAATAGGATTTACGTAGATTTGGAAATGTCTGCTGGATGTCTGCTGGAGTAGTAAGAGCTGAGAAGCAAACCGGGGTGCATGCTGCTCGTCTGCGGGCAAGCCCACACTGGCCAAGTGCTTCCGTGGACGTTTTGCTCTGAGCACACAGGGCAGCTGGGCGGGCCTGCCGGCTCTGGGTCCCTGAGGTGAGGGGGCTCAGAAAGGGCCTGACGCTGGGAGGGGAGCTCCTCTGAGTGAAGACACAGGACAGGTGGCTGGCTAGGGTGGCTACCAAGTGCTCCCTGAGGGCAGCTGGTGCCAGTCTTGGTTCAAAGCTCGGGGTGCTGCCCAGCGAGAAAGATGAGCCCCGCCCTTCGTGGGGTGGCATTCCAGTGGAACCCTGGACTGGCTCCTTAGAGGGACCCTCACGTTTTTTGATTGTTCACTCAGCAGAGAGGGATGCTGTACTGATGTTTGGTCAACAGACAGACAATTACAGGAAACAAGGCAACTACAAAACTCTTCATTCATACAATATCAATGCTTCCCGGATAACCCTTCCATTTAAATAAAAATAGCAAGAAAACTGAACCATAATCAGCCTTTAAAAAATACTTTTTATTTTTTGAGTTACAAAAGTCATATTGTTTGTGAACATGTTTTTGCTTTGGTATCTAAATTATTTGGCCCACCCTACACACACATACACACACACATACGCACACACCTCACAAAACCTGAGAGCCGAATGATCCCTTAATAACTCTCAAAAGAGAAAACAAAGTTAAGCTAAGAAACTATAAACTTAGTATGCGCCTCCTCAAAATTTCTAGAAAAACAGTGGGAGGTGATGAGGAAGACGGGAAACTTTTGGGGTTGAAATAAAGACTTCAGCAGAATCCACAAATCCTTCAAATGTCCATGAAGCACAGAGGTTCAGCCGGTGCCTGAGCAGAGCGGTGACTCAGCCTCAGGAGCCCCAGCGTCCCACGCCCTGAGACCCTCCGGGCTCACTTGTCCTTCTGTGTGCCCCCCGCCCCCTGCCCTTCCAGGAGCTGCAGTGTGAAAAGTGAGTGGCAGCCAGAGGGTGACTAACTCTGCTCGGCTCACTCTTCTGCGGGTGGGAAGTGACGCAGCCCCGGCTCGACGTGACCTGAAGGGTGAAGAGCCCCACCTCACTGCGACCCAGGCCGACAGCTGCTGGCACACAGCTCTAACGTCCCACCACTTCTGGAAGAGCTGAGGGGCCCGCCCCGGCATAGGAGATTTCCACGACTGCAGCTTGCACGTTGGTGACCACAGGGTTTCAGGCCTACAGGAAGCTTTCTCTAGCCTAACAATTCCTATTGATTCAATAAACTGTTACTCAGCGTTGATTAGGCGTCAGTGTGTGGCTGCACCAGTGAAGGTGAGCAGGAGGTGACTCAGGGAGGCAGCTCAGCAGACCTGCTGGTTGCGGCCTTGGCGAGGGTGGTTCCTCTCCGCACTGGTCCCAGTCGCCGTTTTAAACAGCGAGCATGCCACCAGGAAAGGTTGGCAAACACTAGTGTGCTCGCTGCATGTGGGCTGTGGGCTTCAGGCTGAGGTACAGGTCAACTTTGCAGAGGGCGGCAAACAGCATTCTGTCCAGGTCAGACGTATTCTCTTAGAAACGGCTCGCGGGGACTCAAGCACGCACAGACATCAGCCCCGCCACGGCCCCCCGCCCCCCGCGCAGTTCATGGGATGTCTCTGTAACAGGCGCCGGGGCTGTATTTAGACCCCCTTTTTCTAGCTCCCTGTGAGCTTTCTTTACTCTTTGGTCCTTCAACAGAATACGTCTCCTCACAAGGACACGGGAAAGTCTGATTCAATGCGGAGAAAAATTCCAGAAAGAAACGTGGGTGACTGGGCAGTGGATCTCCCAACTGGGTCTGGATCTAGTCAGAGTGTAGGACACTGACATAGGCTTCTGGCTGCTGGTTCTTTGGGGAAATGGGGTATTTTAGAAATGTCCCTGGTAACTGAATATCATGGATCTGGATTCATGTGGGAGAAGATGATGCCCCAAAGGATTATCCAGAGGTACCTTGGGCTGAGCGTGATGCAGAGCCCACTGGTTGCCTGATCACTGAGAACAGACACCTGTAAAAGCACACGATTCTATTTATCTAGTGAGCAATCTTTCTGTAAACTACATTCCCTGGATAAGCGACCTTTCCCTTTGGACTCTGGGTGCTAGGTAGCACCCAGTGAAAACAACAGCGGTGGCTACGATGAACTGCCTGCTGGTTACTAAGGGCCTGGGAAAGTCTCACTCTGGGGGCACAGGGCGCCGTCAAACCTCGGCCCCAGGGAAGAGAACCTGGTACTGGGGAGGCCCCCCGACCCTTTCCAGGACCCGCACACCGCAGAGAGGCTCCATTTTCACAGAGAGCAGTGAGGACGGGGAAGAAGACGATGACACTGGTACTTTAGTTTTGCCGTCCTGCAGAGTCCCCACGCAGGCTGCACACAGTGACCAGGGCTTTGCGGGGTTACTGCATTTACTCCTCACCACGGCCCTCGGAGGCAGGGCCCACAGTGATCCCAGCTTTGCAGACGAGGAAACAGAAGCTGGGGGATGTGAAGTAACCAGCCTCAAGGCTAGTGGAGCTAGAACGGGACGCCCGGCCGAAGCTGTGCTGTCCCCATCAGGCTGGACTGTGCCACTGTGCAGGGAGCCATGGGCGTAGAGAGCCATTCTATCATGTCGTGGCCATGAATTCCTGCACGGGACGCTTGCCAGAGCCCACAGCAGAGTGTCCGTGAGAACAGATTCACAGTGGCCACCCCAGAGTCACCGAGCCCAAACCCCTGGGGGCCCAGCTCTCCTGAGGCTGCCTGTGCTGGCCTGGCAGGGCCTGCAGGCTGTGATGCTCAGGCAGGGGCAGTGTCTAATTCTGTAAACTAAGCTAGTCAAAGTGACGACACCTGTCACCTCTGGGTCTGCAGTGAGCGTAGGAGGTCCAAACTCTAAACACAGATGTCTCTAACTGTCAGCGTTCACTAGGATTGCTGTGATTCCTGTTCCCAGGGACGGGCTCTGTTCCCACGACCCCGGGTGTCCCTCCTCCTGGTAGAGGCTGCAGGGAGCCAGGAGACACGGAAGAGGCTGGCGGACAGCATTTCCATGCCTGGGCTACCTCCGAATCAAGGCGGCAGGGGACAGTAGCTGAGGGCCTCCTGGTGCTGGAGGGAGCAGCTCACGACCCCCTCTTCCCCAGGGATGAGGTGCTGAGCTGGAGAGCCAGATGTCTGCAAAGAGCAAACGGGAGTTTCTAGAAAGAAGAATGACAGCGACAAAGAACCCTCTGACTCCATGGAGTAAAGGCCATTTTGACTCGATTAAAAAGAAATCAGAGTATTCATATGCACACAGACTGAGTCTGCCGAGAGAGCAGCGCAGGGGCGCCTGGAAAGAGAATTTCAGCCGTTCCAGGCGCAGCACTCCTCTGGCTCAGAGGCTAATTGCAAACTTGCTGACTTAAATCCTTACAATTCAGTAGGGTTAAGGGAATGCAGATCAGGGGTGAACAGAACTGGCTCTCTGGATTCGAACTGAAGCTGTTAAATAGGAGGAGAAAATTCCTGCATGACAATATGATTTTAAAAGAAACATAGTGATAAGTAACTAATGTGAAAGTGTGAAGCTAGGTTTTAATTACAGCAAGTTATTATTATTTTTTGTGTGAGGAAGATTGGCTCCTGGGCTAACATCTGTTGCCAATCTTCCTCTTTTTGCCTGAGGAAGATTAGCCCTGAGTTAACATCTGTGCCAATCTTCCTCTATTTTGTATGTGAGACGCCACCACAGCATGGCTTGCTGAATGGTATGTAGGTCTGTGCCTGGGATCCAAACCTGCAAACCTCAGGCTGTTGAAGTGGAGTGTGCGAACTTAACCACTATGTCACCGGGCCAGCCCCTACACACTTCTTTTTACTTCTATGTAGTTAGAAATTTTCCATAATAAAAACTACAAGCAAAACGCAAACCCCAAGCCCATGGAAAGAGATATAAACACTTGAAATGAGGCCACAGCTCTTGAGCTGTGTGGGCTCTTTCATACATAGCTGGTAGAAACTTCTATATTTGAATACAGAATTCTATGGGGCATTCCATAGTGATAAGGCTGTTTTGACTAGGATGAACAAAAATTTGGTTTCAGAGTTAAATATCTAAAATAGGTTCATTTCTCTGTAAATTGAAATGTAATCCCCTCTTAGTTACTAGAGCAGAAAGTAAGACATTTCCTCAAATTAAATCGAAGAAAGGGTTTTCTTAATGTTTATGCTTCCAAATCCTTCAGTAGCAATGTTTGCTCTCAAAAATATATACACACATATGTATACACACACAGACACATGGACACATAGGCAAGGTCTCTTGGGAGCACAGACTCCAGAGGAGGCCCATTCTGATCTCCATCCCTCTGGCACGGGTGTGCTGGTGGGCATGGCAGCATGTGTACTGGGATGTGTGTGTCACTCCAGATCAGCCAGCAGGCAGAAAGCCACAAGCCACTTTTACGGGGTTTCTAGGGCTCGGTTAGAGAGAGTTTTACTAAAGGCACAAACGGCTGTTCAGGTTGCTGTAAGCTGCTCGTGCAGCTCTGCAGGATACGAGACATCACACGTAAGATGTTTATTTCTCTTAAAAGTGGGGGGAGGGGCATTTCCGGCTCACAGCTACACACTTTACACATAATCCAAAAGGACATGGAGACATGGTTTCTGTGCTTCACATGCTAGAGAGATTCCTAACAGGAATGTGTTTAACAGTGTTTAAGAGCCTGAGGTCAGGTCTGCTGTGATGAACCTATAGTTGTGAAAGTTCAACGTGAGCCACACTGAGATTATATTTTTAAATAATTCAGGTTGATTTTTAGTAGAGGTAAATAAATAAAGCTACTGGAAAATAAACTTACATAGGATGAATACTGGCTTATCGTGACCAAAATAACCAAGAAGCTAAATAAACTGCGGGAAGTGATCCGACCATCTCAACAGCACTGGCCGAGGCCAGGAGGCCATCTCGGGTGTGGCTTCAGACCCTCCGCATCTCTGCCGCCTTCCTTTCCATCTCTATCTCCGGCCCCAGCTACTGAACTTCCTCCCTCCCTTGGTCACAGACCATAATAAGTTGTAACAAACGTATGTTTTTAAAAAGTTTTATTTTTGAATTGATCTTATCCTTAGTTGAGAAAGCAGATGACATCGCTCAGGCGCCCTTGTAGCTAGTCCACAGTGGGACGGTGACGGCAGGGGTTGTGGGGTTCACGCAGGGCAGGGGAGGTCAGTGCAGAATTAAACAACCCAGATAGTTCCGAGTTGGCCAATGATAACGTCTAACATTTTAGCATTAGGCTGGCAGTTCTAACGGGCAGGAAGTGCACTAAAATACCCATGGACCTACGAGTCTCTGCTTCAGAGAGAGCCGCACAGGTGACCACAGCTCTTGAGGTTGAAACCCACAATGCGCGTCTGCGTTATTCTTACTGCTTCTTTAAAGAGGAAGAGGAGATGGACCACGAGGCAGCTTACAGGTGGGCACATGACGGGGCCGCTGCTGCCTGTGACCCCACCAGGACCTGAAGCAGCAGCAACGGCAGACGACGAGAGATTCCATCAGCTAGAAAAAGACTCAACTAGACCAGTGAAAAATACCTTAAGTGAAGGAAGCGAACACCACACATACATGACACCAAAAGGAGACGAGAAGCTGCAGGAGTTTACAGCTGAGTGGGAGGCCAGCACCAGTGAGGCAACAGCACACGAGAGGGCCTGATGACCAACGTGGAAAAAACAGACTAGGAATGAAACATGCAGACTCCTGGGCCCTAGTAAATCTTCTTACAAGTCATGTGACCTGAGGCAAGTGGTCACCTAGGGACAACCTCTCAGTGGTGATCAGCCTACGTGAGGATGGAGACAACAGGAAAACTGTAACATGTGATGTTTCCCTGTGCTCTTCCTGAAACTTGTCTGTAAGCTTGAAATTTTAACAAAAAGTTACAAAAATTAAAAAAAATGCTATAATAAATGGTTTTTAGTTCCACTCATAAAAGATCAACTGCCATGTAACTGTCTTATATCCATAAACAATGGGAAAACCGGAAAAAAAATGTATGAAACAGCTGTTTTCAGACATTGACTACTGGGTACTGCAGCCTGTGATCTCTGAGAGAAGGGGATAAACGATGGCTCAGCTCACGGCCTGCAGGCGGTTGGCAGGCGGTTCCCGGCAGTCTCAGGCTGCTGCATGGGGCAGTGGACCCAGAGAGAGCCCAGCAGTCTAGTGAGCAGAGAAGACAGATGGGAGCTCCATGGAAGCTGAGGTGCCTGGAACTGGCAGGTCAGAGTGCAGAGGGGAGAGGGCTTCTGAGGTCTGCAGGGGAGGCCCCTTGTCTTTGAGTTCTTTCTGCTAGTGGGTGGGATGGAAACCCACGAGGTTGCAGAAAGAACCGCTGGAAGGCCCATAATTCCCAGAGCTCACCAAAAGGACTAGGAGGCTTTACAGTCCCCAAAGAAGAAAGGACTAAAGTCCACGAACTAAGCTTCCATCTTGAGAAACTAGAATCAGAAGAGCAAATTAAACCCAAAGTAAGCAGAATAAAAGAAGTAATGAAGATAAAAACAGGTACCAATAAAATGGAAAATGAAAACCAACAGAGAAATACTAACGAAACCAAAAGCTGGTTTTTTGAAAAATTTCCTTTAGCCAGAATGGTCATGACAAAGAGACATCACAAATTACCAGTATCAGGAATGAATGAGGGGCTACCACTACAGATCCTACAGACTTTGAAAGGATCATGAGAAATAATGACAATCCTACTTCACCTCCTGGTGGCCTGATGCGGGTGAGCGGAAGCAGTAATGCATGCCCCAGCTGAAGCTACATGTAAACAGAGTTCAGAGTGTGTTGTAAATCTCCGGATTCGAAACAGTTGTTGAAAGTTTCTAAACCATGACATAGACCTGCAAGCACCTGGAATTTCCCCGCTTGAATATTCAGAACCAAAAACCAAGAACTTGAGAGCTTCACTGAGAACATCTTGTCACACATACCTTGTAGGCGATGCTGTTGAGAACTTTCATAGCCAAATCGGAAACATCTGGATAGGGATCTGCAGCCAGATGCAGTAACACTCTCCAAATTTGAGTGTAAACGCTATTGAAAGAAACTCCTAGGAAAGAGAAAAGGGAGATGTTTCAGTAACAAAGAGTTTCCACTGCATGCCTGGGCAGCTTCTGAGGTAGCTGCCTTTTCTGAAAACCTAAAGATGCTATCAGGAATAGATGCTTCAAAGTGCTGGGGTTGTGGGAAGCTTCTGTTTTGTTATTCTGGCAAGGGGCCCAGAGATTCAGGAATCCCAGCTGGTAAACGGGTTTGATTCCATCATTTCATCTTCTGAGTCTGGATCTTTTTAGAAGGAAAGATGAGTTAGAAAAGGGCAGGATTTCCTTGAAGGCCTTGACTGACTGGACAGTACTCCCTAGCTCCCAGAGTAGCATTAGATTTAACATCCCGATTTCTAGGAGCCGTCATGGCCCACTTGAGCAGTGCACCTTGGGTGAGAGTCCCCATCTGCACCTTGCTCTGCATTCAGGGTGTGCTCTGGGCTCCATGACTTACCAAGTCTTTGGCCTATACACCACATGCTGCACTACCCTGAGTTCCAAGGAAACCACAAAGGGTGTGCGTGATGTGACCTGAACCCTCCAGGATCTCCTAAGGCATCCGTATTTCCTCAGTGTGTGCTCTATGCAAGATCCTGTCTGTGTGCCTGGATGCCAAGGCAGATGAGACGGGATGTAAACACATGACAGGTAAATCGTGGACATGAAGGAAAGGAAAAGAGTGTTTACTGAGGGTCTTACCCAGTGAAGGCTGCTCAGTTTCATTTAATCCCTGCCAGCTGAGCCACAGGCATTACCCCTGGCATTACAGATGTATACAGCAAGGCCCAGCATCCAAAGGATGAAGGATTTGAACGCACACCTGTCTCACCTTCAAGCCAATGCCAGTTCCATGACACTGCGCTGCCTTGGGCAGCTACGATAAAGAGGATAAAGGGAGAGAGTGATTCCTTCTGTTGGGAGGGTAAGGAGCCAGGAAGCTCTTACAGAGACGCATAGAGGTGGGCTGTGAAGGGGAAGCAGGACTTTTCTCTTGGCCAAGACCTTCCTGGAGGGAAGGTCAGCAGAGCAAACAACCAACTGACATGGAGGTGATGGAGACACACAGAGCATTTGGAGAAGCAGCTGACCAAAACCTGGACACGCATATCAGAGATGACGATGGGGTGGTGAGTGCTCAGAAACCAAGTGGGGAGGAGCAGCAGGCAGCGGGGCTGAGCAGCACCCGGGGCGCGGGGACAGTGCAGGCTGAGGCAAGGGTCCAGATCTCTGGGAGGAGGCGGCCATGGAACTTGTGGCTCCACCGTGTTGGGTCTGGATAGGCAAAGGAGAAAAGGAAATCCTGGAAAAGGAAGCAGTCTGAGCAAAGGCTGGTTGCAGGATGCGGGAGCTGAGCTGGACGAGCAGACTGGAGGCTGACACGGCACCCTCACTCCTTCCTGGGGTGAATCTGGGGGCCAGGAAGCAGAGGTGGTGCTGCTCCCAAGAAGTGCGTGGTCGAATGGGGACACAGCCACATGTAACTGCATCCTTTATTTTGGGGGAAGCTAGACAATTTGTTTATTGAAAAGTAAGTGCTTGTTCAACAAAGAGCATTTCAGGTAAGCCATGATTCCATATCACTTAATTGGTCAACACCTAGTGAAGTTCCCTCTAGTGTTTATGAAGGAATTTAAACATCAGAAGTGGAATCAGAGGACGAAGTGTTTCTTGGTGAACACAATGGGTTTCATACAATACATTCAAATTAAAAAAAAGATAACAGAGGAAGTTGAGAATAAAAGCGTCGAGCATGTGTTTACGTAGATGCACATGGATATATCTTAGCTCACCGCACCCTACAGCCCCTAATCCGTAAAGAAAGGCACACCGCTTCGCCTCAGCTCGCATGGGGACAGTGTGTATTTACGCTGCCCAGTGGCTGCCTACTCCAGCACCCTCTGCCGTCTGCAGAGGGATGGAGGCTAAGAAAGCCTCGTCCTCCCAGCCTGTGTGGGCACGGCCGCTCTCCTGAGGTGACCACCATGGAAAAAACACATTCCAGTGAGCGCTTACAGAGATCCCAGGGTATGGGCCGCACCAGCTCAGCGTGGTTCTGAGAAGAGATGCTCATGGCTGCCCACCTCTGGATGATTATACAGAAACACAGCTGCCGTGCAGGGCAGATCGCTGAGAGGCTGGGGCCAGAAAAGGCATTTGTCTCACCACGGCAGGGTGAGGGGCGTCCTACCCAGAGGAAACGCTCCTTCAGAGCAACACCCGCCTCACGTGTTCACTTGCAGTGTGTGCATTCAGCAGCCAGTTCTGAGAGCCTGCTGTGCGAGGACAGCAGCTGACATAGGCCCCGTGGCCCACAGGAACCAGGAGTGGGGCGTGGCGGGTTCAGTACAAATCTGGACCTGCGACAGGTGACATCCGTCAGGCAAACGCACTCTCGCTCGGAGGCGACCACGCGTTCTGGGGAAGGGTTCACAGGAAAACGCACGGTTTCCTTCCCATGGGCCTCCCGCACTCTTTAATTTAGGAACAGAGCAAGAACCTTCCAACTCGCACATTCCATGGTGCTGGGACACCGGTCCAGATTGACGACCAAAGTCTAAGGAAAGTTTGGTAAAATCAGTCCAGAATTTCTGTGAGAAGACTTCCTAAAATGGACTCTTCCCTCCAGGCAGACGGCCTGCCCGCAGCGCCCGTCGACTCTTCCCTCCAGGCAGATGGCCTGCCCGCAGGACTGAGCCGTCTGCTGCGCCAGGCCACCAGCTGCTGCTGCTTTGCCTTCCTCCATAGGAGGCACAAGTGGGAGGCTCCGAGCGCTCAGACGGCCCTGGGTGCAGGGCACACGAGGAGACACGCTCTCTTGGACACAGCTGGCTCAGGAGGGAGCCAACCCATGAGCGGAGGAAGGCGGTCTCCCTTCGTCACAAACGTGCACGGGAGTTCTTATGAAGGCTCCTCAAACTCATCACAGCCACTGTGCGAAATTCTTTCCCTTCCATTGTTTTCGGGCTCAGAGTGATGCATGGGCAGCTTCCCGAAGTGAAGCATGGCTGCGTGTGACAGGGAGCTGTGAAGGGAGAGTGGTGCCCAGGGCTAATACACCAGGTGGACTGTAGACAGGGGACCCTGGTTACCCCACACGGGAGTGCGCAGGAGGAGACCTCTGCGCCAGGGCAGGGAGGGGCGGCACAAGTGCGCTCACAATGGGCTTGTCAGCACTTGCTGTCAGCAGCGGTCTACAGCAGATTCCCAGCAGCGAGGGCCTGAATTCCAGGGCCCTTGGTGACCGTGAGGAAAGGGCACAGGGCAGTGTCCTTCCCAGCGGTGTGACCTCAGGCCATGGACTGGGGGTAGCGGACGCAGACTCGGGGGGGAGGTGGCACAGGGCTGTGGGCACATAGACCACTGCCAATAGAGGCCTGGTGTGGCTGCGCACAGAGGAAGGTGGCACTTGACAGCCGCCACTGTCCTTGACTGCACAACATTTTAATTATTACTGTTGCTGACTTCCTTGCAGATTTCTCCTTTGACATAATACTGTTTGTGATTCAACAGGGAATTTAAACTCTAATTTTTGTTGGTGCCTTTGGCCACAGTGAACAGTATAACTATTTACTGGTAAAACATGAAACCGGGCCACGGCATTGCTGCCTTTATTTCACTTCTTTTCTCAGTTCGGCCGCCCAGGGCCGGCCCCTGGGGGACAGGGAGCCCAGGAGGCTTCTGGGCTGGAATGCTCAGAGAGGGCCCTGTGTCTAGCACTCGCTGAACTCCGCAGAAGTGCTGAGAACCTATTTTCGTGTCTAGACTACCATAATAAAAGATCATAACTAATGGTTTTAGGAGTTATTTTTCAGAGCAATGGCCACAACTTTCTAAATAGTATAAGATGTAGGAAAATTTGCTCAGAGCTTTGTGGCCAACTCCGGATTCCAGGAGTCCCTCGGGCTGGCAGAGCAGCTCAGAGAAAGAGGGCTGCAGTCCCGCTGGAGGCAGGGGCTGCCCCCTTACCTGGGCCTCAGGGGTCACCTACTCTGACACTCTGTTGGGCGACGTGGGGCCCCTCTCCGGGAGTCAGTTCCCCGGCCTGGAGCTTCTGCATCTGTCCTCTTTGTGATGCTCCTCCTGTTGCTGGGGGCCCTGAGGTGACTCCTGTCTGCTCAGGGGCTGCGCCCACGACTCAGTTTCTTTAGGAGGAGCACCCTTCCTTCCTCCACCTGCCTGCTGGAGGTGTGGGCCCAGCCTGGCGCAGAGAGGACCCAAGGACAGAGCGCCGCCTGGACCGAGGCAGCCGACATGTCTGCCATCATCCTTTTGGCGACGTTCCTCAGTGTCCCTATGAGACACACTTAATGACGGCCTTTAATCAAGGGTTTTGGCTATAAAAACATCATTAATCTTGTGGCATCGGAAAACAATGCTGTTCATTTTCTCACCACCCCTTTCCGACAAGAAGAAATCAAACTAATGGGTTGTAAAGCCTTCCCTCAGAACGTGCGTGGTTCCTCTGGCAACAGCCCCACTTCTCCTTCTTGTTGACTGAGCTCCTCTGCTGTTCGAGAGGAAACCAGCACCCCTCGATGTCCCGAGCTCATGACTGGGGTCTCCAGAGCTGCACGGGGGGCTTGCGAAGGATCCTTCCCTTAGGACTCCTTGGTGCTGAGGGGAGAAAGGGAAAGGAGGGAGGTGCTCCTTCCTGGCCAGTCCCGCTAACATGGATGGAACAGCGACACATGGCCACAGTCCGTGCAAGGCTCCCAGAGGCCTGGGTGAGGGCCAGAGACGACCACAGGGGCCCCAGGGTGGGAAGACAGCTCTGTTCTGCTGGGCCTCCAGGAATCTGGGCAGTGCCTGTGTTGCCCAGCTCCAGTCTCTCTGCTCCAATCTCTTCTCTGAGGGGTGTCGTCCTGACCCCCAGATTCTGAGTGAAGCGGAGGAGCTGGCACTTGAACCCAGCTTCATGCCAAATCCAGGTTTAGGTGTCAAGAGCATGCAGCCCAAGGTGAAGGGCAGGGCTCCGGGCCAGGTGCCCACTTTGAATCCTGGTCCT